CCGGCCTCCTCCCCCCCTCCCTCATCATATTTGTCACCCCGGCCTCAGAATTAATACTTGATTTCAAATTTTCTATTCATAGCAACAAAATTAAAATTGTTAGTAACTAACCAAACGTGAATACCTGAATTCCGTTTGTCCGTTTATTCCATCCTAAAAAAATGTTCAATAATTACAGGTGATTTTTTTTTATTTTCTCTCTTACCTTTTCTTGATTTAGAAGAACGGATTTATATCCGTGATTTATTGAAATCTCCCCCAACTAAGTACAGTCTCATATTGAATAGAGATACTATAGATCGGTTTAGAGTTCTAGAGATCGGTTTAGAGTTCTAGAGATCGGCTTACAGTTCTAGAGATCGGTTTACAGTTCTAGAGATCAGTTTAGAGTTCTAGAGATCGGTTTACAGTTCTAGAGATTGGTTTAGAGTTCTAGAGATCGGTATAGAGTTCTAGAGATCGGTTAAAAGTTCTATGAGATCGATTTAGAGTTCTAGAGATCGGTTTACAATTCTAGAGATCGGCTTACAGTTTTAGAGATCGGTTTGGAGTTCTAGAGATAGGCTTGGAGTTCTAGAGATCGGTATAGAGTTCTAGAGATCGGCTTACAGTTCTAGAGATCGGTTTACAGTTCTAGAGATTGGTTTAGAGTTCTAGAGATTGGCTTGGAGTTCTAGAGATCGGTTTACAATTCTAGAGATCGGTATAGAGTTCTAGAGATCGGTTAAAAGTTCTATGAGATCGATTTAGAGTTCTAGAGATCGGTTTACAATTCTAGAGATCGGCTTACAGTTTTAGAGATCGGTTTGGAGTTCTAGAGATAGGCTTGGAGTTCTAGAGATCGGTATAGAGTTCTAGAGATCGGCTTACAGTTCTAGAGATCGGTTTACAGTTCTAGAGATTGGTTTAGAGTTCTAGAGATTGGCTTGGAGTTCTAGAGATCGGTTTACAATTCTAGAGATCGGTATAGAGTTCTAGAGATCGGTTAAAAGTTCTATGAGATCGATTTAGAGTTCTAGAGATCGGTTTACAATTCTAGAGATCGGCTTACAGTTTTAGAGATCGGTTTGGAGTTCTAGAGATAGGCTTGGAGTTCTAGAGATCGGTATAGAGTTCTAGAGATCGGCTTACAGTTCTAGAGATCGGTTTACAGTTCTAGAGATTGGTTTAGAGTTCTAGAGATTGGCTTGGAGTTCTAGAGATCGGTTTACAATTCTAGAGATCGGTATAGAGTTCTAGAGATCGGTTAAAAGTTCTATGAGATCGATTTAGAGTTCTAGAGATCGGTTTACAATTCTAGAGATCGGCNAAATGAATAGTCTAGGTAACATACTGTATTAATGTACTCTACTGCATATAATTTGTGAACATTTACATGATTTGTACACTTTGAACTCCCTTTCAGGCTGAAAGGGACTGAAAAATGCATACCGAGAGATTCTTTAAATTCCCCTCTAATATATATTCTATTCTCTATGAGTATACAACTGCAGTATGGAAACAGTACAACAAAATGGCGGTTTTAAACTTTTTTCGATTAAATTCCCCTCTATACTTATCTATTCTCTTTGATTTTAACCCACCTCCTATATTATAGATAACTATACACTTAAGAATGAAAAGAGAAGTTGCTACAAGAATCAGAAAAGCTCTCCAGGTTCTCAGATGAGCCGGAAGATGAAGGCAGGATTTCAGAGTACAGGCGTACAGATCTTTTTTCATTTTTAACTAAATAGAATTTAACTGAGAAATCACGTCATCTCTAGTTTACTGTAAATCTTCATGTGAAGGGTAACTGCAGAAAAAATTAAGTTCAAATGTGGATTTTTGTTAATTATTTAAAATTTTTAAAAACTGCATGATTTACAAGTTTTAGATATTATTGGCGTGTATATTTCACCCTGAGTGTACGGAACGTACAGTGTGAAACTCACTTGGAATGATATTGCAGTTTTTAGAATTTACAAAAATATCCAGGGTTGCAGGTTCCCTGCAACTTTAATTCAATCAAACAGATTTACTTGGATTCAGCGCCAATCTGTTTGGTTCAGCGTAAAGAGTTGATCATCTTTTATTTGGATCGAGTGTCGAATTATAGATCACATGTTAATGGATCAAGTGCCTAAAAAGCACATATTTTGGATCAAGTGAAGAATTGGTCATTTGCTATTAGTTCTAGTGTTGAATTGATCACTTATTGATCTCCAAGGTATTTATCTCCAAGGTATTGATCTCCATGGTATTGATCTCCAAGGTATTGCTCTCCAAGGTATTGATCTCCAAGGTATTGATCTCCAAGGTATTGATCTGCATGGTATTTATCTCTAAGGTATTGATCTCTAGGGTATTGATTTCTAAGGTATTGATCTCTAAGGTATTGTTCTCGAAGGTATCGATCTTGAAGGTATTCATCTCGAAGGCATTGATCTCCAAGGTACTGATATCCAAGGTATTGATCTCCAAGGTATTGATCTCGAAAGTATTGATATCCAAGGTATTGATCTCTAAGGAATTGATCTCCAATCTATTGATCTCTATGGTATTAATTTTTAAGGTATTAATCTCTAAGATGATCGTTTTAGATATATGAAGATTGTTTCGTGTAATCATGTTACATCACAGATAATGTAGATAACTGTATTTCTTTCATGGAAAACTTTTCTTTTTTCGTATTTTGTGGAATTCAGAGTGACCGCTAGAAATAAATCTTCATTTAGAAAACAGAAAGTTTCTCCATCATTATTTTTGTAGAAGATATGCTGTAAAAAAAATTCTACAACAAATTGATGAAAGCGACGTTAGCTTTGAAAGATAAATCGGAAGTCCTTCTAATTATTGACATTTTTTACCTGTTTTTTGAGAAAAAAAATATAATAAATACAAGGTATAGGATAACTGATCAGTGTCTGTTTGGGTGTTTGTCTGTTTGTTTGTATTCAATAAACGTCAAAACGACTGAACCGATCGGGACCAAATTGTGTGTGGGACATCACGTGATCCCATGGAAGGTTTATAAATTTTCAAAATTTTGAAAGTTTGAGTTTAAAACTTTTTTATTTTTGTAAGATTTTTGAAAATAAAAAAAAATTATGAAATCCGCAAAAAAAATAATATGAAATCCGCAAACTTTTGTTTTTTTTTAATACTGATGCTCAAAGTTAAAGCTGCTCACAGATAATGCCACAATTGAAAGTTGAAATAGAAGATGCCTAAAGCTTAGTTATATTATATTATTGAAGCCAGAACGGTGATGTTATTAAGAAGATCATGTTTACCTATAAATATCCTAAGACTACTAAATAATGTGTTTTTACCAATATGACAAATTTGAAATGTAGATATTTTATTTTGTATATGAATGTTAATCATCGGTTTTTTTCAAGAAAAAAAACTCTATTTATTTATGTATTTATTTTCTATATCTACATTTTTTGTTACGCACGGCATATACCTTTAAACACTCATATTATAAACTAGAAGGTGTAATTATCTTATTTTGAACCCCCTCGGGTATTTATGCACTTGCATGCATTCATAATTAACTGCATTTATTGAACCTAAATCTTTCTATTTGTTAGTTGCAACCAGGGTATAAAATATATTTGATTTACCCTCTAATTTGGACCCCATGGCATACAGATATTCTTATTAGTGTTTATACAGATAAGACAAGCATGGACAATTTTCAACAGTAAAAAAATAGTTCTATCCACTAACTGCAATGTACTGATAATAAAACATTTTATTACTAATATCAACTAATATTTGAAATGCCGAAAATTTGGCTTTTTAATTTTAGGTAAGAATATCTCACACACCTTTTAGCTGGACATAATTTAGTATTCAGAAAAAATCTCGTTATTCATAAAACTTTTTTCATAATTCAGTATTCAGAAAAAATCTCGTTATTCATAAAACTTTTTTCATTTTCTAACAAAACGTTCGTAATTTAGAAAACCTACGATAATTCGATTTTCCTGTTACGTTGCGCTGGGGTGATGTAAGATGGTTTTGTTCTATTGGGATAAAATCAAAAGTTTTCCATATATATATAAAACATTAACTCTCTCGTTCTATCTTAATTCCCTGTGGACAACCTGTCTAATTTTGTCTTGTGCTAAAAATGGAGTTACAGCTGAGCATATTTCTACTAATTTATATAATTTTGATTGTCCTAAATAGACATAAATTTAGTTCATTAAAGCGCTTGAAAAGATATTTAAATACACAGGAAGAGGAAGAAAACAATTTGTGTGTTTAATTTCCAGACACTTTCCGCCCTTTCCCTTTTATGCACTTTCCGCCCTTTACCCTTCTATGCACTTTCCGCCCTTTACCCTTCTATGCACTTTCCGCCCTTTACCCTTCCAGGCACTTTCCGCCCTTTACCCTTCCAGGCACTTTCCGCCCTTTACCCTTCCAGGCACTTTCCGCCCTTTACCCTTCCAGGCACTTTCCGCCCTTTCCCTTCCAGGCACTTTCCATCCTTTCCCTTCCAGGCACTTTCCGCCTTTTCCCTTCCAGGCACTTTATGCCCTTTCCCATCCAGGCATTTTCCGCTCTTTCCCTTCCAGGCACTTTCCGACTTTTCCCTTCCAGGCACTTTATGCCATTTCCCATTCAGGCACTTTCCGCCCTTTCCCTTCCAGGCACTTTCCGCCCTTTCCCTTCCAGGCACTTTGCGCCCTTTACCCTTCCAGGCACTTTCCGCCCTTTTCCTTCCAGGCACTTTGCGCCCTTTCCCTTCCAGGCACTTTCCGCCCTTTACCCTTCCAGGCACTTTCCGCCCTTTCCCTTCCAGGCACTTTCCGTCCTTTCCCTTCCAGGCACTTTCCGTCCTTTCCCTTCCAGGCACTTTCCGCCCTTTTATGTCCATGCACTTTTCAACCTTATCCATCCAGCCAATTGTTACGTTTTACGTATTCTGGTCTTTCCACTGAAATATTTCGAAAGACAATTTCTTTAAATTAAATACAAATATTTTGCGATTTCTCGCTCTAAATTTAGAAATTAAAAAGTCGCTAGTTTCCTAGTACAAGTTGGATGGCTGCCAACTAAGACACAAAACATTGCTTTTGCTGCCAAATAAGCGATTATTGAGCAAGTTTATTGACCCACGCTGTATATAACATTTCATGCCGGCAACCAAATATTGTTTAAAGAGTAGTAAAACTTGTATCATAAATTGTTTTACGATACTAGTGTTGGAATATTTTCAAATAACTGGCTTTTATTCATTGCTTAGGTTTATAGATTAT